AATGGGTTTTTCCGACGAGGTTTTTAACGAGGCAACAATTATATGCGCTACCTGGGGAATATTCAACATTATCCGAGGCTTCTTTACATTCAACCTCGAATACTGGGGGGCAACACCCTCGGATGTTATGTTTTCAAAGAAGATGCTTCGTGTCAGCATGGTCTCGATAGGGAAACTTTGTAATGGGCCAAACGGTCGAATGAATCGTGTCCATGTAGATTAATCGGGCCCCAATGGCAAAACATGTACGCATGTATAAATTATTCAAAGAAGCATTTTTCCTTATCAAATATCTTGTGCCTCAAAGAAAACTTTCTACTATACGAGCTCCACGCTTATGATTTTTGTGAAAAATGGCTCAAGGGCCAAGTACAATTACACCTCGAATGGTAAATGGCTCTAGGGCCAGGTATAAATACACCTCGGACGGTCAACCTCCCCTACTCGGGGACTACCGTCGAAAATTAACATGTTCAAATTATCTAAAGACCTTAAAGAGTCACCCCTCAATTTATAGGCAAAGGCAATCATTCTCGGGGACTAACACTTCGAACAAGTTTGAAGTGTTGTTGGGAAAATAAGACCAAGAGTCACACCCAAAGGCTACGACCAAACTAACGCAGCTCGGAGACGTCCGAACCCCACAATAAAAATAGGCCTTCGAATTCTTTAAAAACCGGTTAAAAATGGCTACCCTCGGCAAAATAATCAAAGGGCTTCGATAAAATCAGCCCTCGAAAACCGTAAGAGGTATCGAATTATTCAACGACTAACTTGTGCTAAGGCACAAAAAACAAAGGGGTTTCGATCAACACTAAACCCTCAAAAAACCCAATGGGTACAAAAAATACATGCTAAGGCATAAGAAAACTTTACTAAGTCTTTGAGCCAAAAGAGGGAAAAAATAGCCATCCTTTAGAGGCCATATCGGCCCAATTCAAAGAGCCTAAGGGCCAACACACTTTGAGTTCGAGAACACGTTCTCACTCAATTCGAACCTAAGGGTCCCTCTATCTCGAATTCGAATAAGAACCTACTCGACTACAAATCGAGGTTCGTTATCATTCAAAACAAACCTAAGGGCCCTTTTGCTCCAAATTCAGGTTTCACTCGAACCCGACTATAAAAACAGTATTATTACGCCTTCGATCAAGTCATTTAAAACCAAAGTCTCAAACATATTGTTTTAAGCATAAAAATATGCTAAAATTTTACAAGGCACGAAACATGGTTGAAGACAAAATTTGAGAAGGCATTCAAAAGAAAAATTTCTTTATATGTATGGACAAAAATATGTACAAGGGACCGACAAGGGCCTTACAAAAAAATCCAAAAAAGAAGGAAAAAGTTCTAAGTGCCTAATCTTCCCCGGGAGCTTCATCTTCATCTTCTCCGCTCTCTGATCCGCTCATACTCCCGGAGTCATCATCATCAGTGAGCAAAGCTTAAGCCTCGACCTTTAGCATTTTTGCGTTCTCAATATCGGCCTTGAGGTCAAAGCCACGAGCATGAACCTCCTCGAGAGTCTCTCTCCGAGACTGGCATTTAGCATGCTCGGCAATGTGGGATAATCGAACCTGAGCGAAATCAGAAATTTCTTTCGCTCGAGCGTTAGCGGCTTCAGCATCGGCTCGATAGACAGACACGACCGCCTCTGCCTCTGCATCGGACTTTGCTTTTTCCGCTACAGATGCGGCCTTTGCAAGCTCAACAACCAGCCAAGTCTCGAGCTCCTCAATTTTCTTGGCTCGAGCCAAGCTCTTTTCCTTCATGCTTTGGAGTGGACGCTCAACCGAAGATAGCTGGGCCCGAGCGATGTCTTTCTTCGAGGCAAGACGGTCCATGTTCTGCTTCCACCCAAAATCTCTACCTCTTTCACCTCAGCCTCCTCGCGAAGCTGCTCAATCTTTTCGGCCTTCTGCTGAACCTGCAGGATCTAAGTGTTAGCTGCCAATATCAAATTTCTATGTCAAGCTCCCAAAAAAAATTTACGTTACCTGCTCGATGAGATCGGTCTGCTCTCTATGAGCTCTTCCCAATTAAGCTCGGTGGTCCCTGATCTCCTCTTCTTTTTGCACATCGAGGCATTTGAGGGCGTCTCTCTCCTCCGTGAGCCTCTTGAGATCGGCCTCTCACCGGATCTCAGCTCGGGATTTGGTGAACGCTTCCCGATGAAGCATCACAGCCTGTGGAGAAAGGAAGGAAATCAGACAGAAGGAAATAAAAGCAAATGTAATAACGATGGATGAAATTTACCTGGTTCAAGAGTCGCTGAGCCTCATAAAAAATGATCGTTGCATCTAGGTCGGAAGCGTCATCGACCCCTGCGAGGCAGCCATAGAATATGTCTTCCCCTTCATGGGCCGTTCCCACATCGGGGGTCTCCATAGACTGTGCCTCCCGAAATTGCCATTCAGAATATATAGGCTAGGCGTCAATATTGATTGCCCCAAGCAAGTCATCTAGGGCAGTCTCTCCTTTTCGAAGGGCCCCGGAACCGGACCCTTCGAGCACACTCACCGGTTGTTCGTTACAACAGGAGACATCTTCGGCCCTCGATGACTCGGGGACTTTGCTCGGACCATCTTCCGAGATCTCCTCGGTCTGAGAATGAGCCTCCTCGACCATCATCGGCTCAGCTGCTTTTGAAGCTTCAACGCTTCCCCTCTTTCAAGCCACCAGCTCATAACCAACATCTTCTCCCTCCTCTTCTTCATCTCATAGTTTTTGGGCCATGGCAGCAGACAGAGCGGCGGAGTCATTCTTTGACTTACGAGCCTTGCTCTTCTTAGGCTTTGGGGTGTCGGAAGGCGAGGCCTTTCTCCTCTTCTTATCCTTAGCCGGTTTCGGGGCCACCTCTTCCCCAGGCGGGGCCAACCTTATTTCAGCAACATCCCCGACGCCTGCATAAAAGGGAGTCAAGTATAAATAAAAAGAAACGTTTCAGAAAAAAGCATCAAAAGCATACAGGATAAGTTTACCATGATTCTTTGCCTCCCATCGTCCCCTCGCTAAATCGTGCCATGAGCGCTCAGCATATGTGGAAGTCGAAGCCAGCTTTCAAACCCAACTTTCGAGGTTCGGGGTTGCTCCGGACACCTAGGGGACCGCTACGTCACAAGAAAAGACATGGGTTGAGAAAAGATGCGGGTGAAGGAAGATAAAAGAAACAAAGTAATCGACATAAGTTGTTGATGGGTTTACTTACGCTTTATGTTCCATTCCTCGGGGAATGGCATTTTCTCGACCAGGATTATATCGGAGGTCCTCACTCAGACAAACCGACCCATCCATCCCCGATCCTTGTCCTCGTCTGTACTCGAGAACAACACCTTTGTGGCTCAGTGATGGAGCCTTATGAATCCGCCCCGATAGAGACGGGGGATATACAGTCTCATGAGATGGTCGAGGGTAAATGGCATCCCTTCGACCTTACTCACGTAAAATCGGAGCAAGATAACAATGCCCCAAAATGAGGGGTGTATTTGGCCAAGAGCTATTCGGTATTGGCGGCAGAAGTCAATAGTAACGGGATTGACGGGACCCAGCATGAAAGGGTAAGTGTAAACACTTAGAAACCCTTCCACGTAAGTAGTAATATCTTCCTCGGGGGTAGGAACCACCACCTCTGCATTTTCCCAGTGGCAGTCCTTTTTCACCTGCTCGAGGTCACCTTCGGTTATCGAGCATATATACCTCGACATGGGCTCACATCGGTCAGGGACCGAAGAGGGTTTTCAATTTTGTAATCAGAAGAAAGGTCGCATGACCCGGGAATGCACTGTTCGATGCGTGGCTCCACCGGCGTTTTATCACCGATCGACCGCGATGAAGAGGCTTTGTCCTTTTGTGGGACGGTTGGAAGTTTTCACCATTGATTCAGGTAGAAGGAAGCGGAAAGAGGTGAAACTTGGTGTTCTTGATACTAACAAAGTTGACTCAATGGGTGGTGAAAGAGAAGAGATGGAGATAGTAAGAAACTTAGAAAACTTGGTGAAGGTGAAAGTAAAATTTTGATTCAACCAAAGACCCTATATTTATAGATTTATGGCGACGGTTCGGTGGTGCTAGTGGCCGACCGTCCATTGACAATCATTAATGGTTTGGGGAACTGTATCGACGGGATGTTTCGGTCACCTCAATCGCTTACATCATGGAGATGACATCATTATCGGGGTCTCCAGAAAATCGAGGCTCAAGTCGTTTCTTATCATTTTACTCTAAGAAACGAGGGGACTATCTGCATACGGTAAAAATCGGGGCTACACGATTTCATCCTTTGCTCGAGATGGGAATGCCGCGTCAAGGAGCTAGGACGTCGAGTCCGGAATCGAAGCCTCTTTTCGGACCAAGGTCGACGTCAATCGCGGCCATAAAGCGACAGACTCCGAGTGACATCGATATAGCTTGATAACGGAAACGGCGAGATATCCATGATTGGTCGAGGTTCATGGCGTGAATCTCGGAACGAATCAATTCACGGCGGTTAATCAAATGTTAATATGGTTTCCTACTATAATTAGAAGTGTACCTTATTTAGGACTCCTCTATTATATAAAGAGGGATCCCATTTATTTGTAATCATCATGGTTCACTGATAAGAATATACACACTTGTTACTTTCCTGCTATTTCACTTAGTGTTCATCAGAGTTGCTTTATCTTTTACTGTTCTTAATGTTCCACCTCGAGACTATCTCGAGTCGAGGTCGAGACATGGCTAGCATACTAGTTTGATTTATTTTATTCTCTAATTTATTCATTTACTTTGTTGCTTATCAGTTGGTATTTGACGAAATCACATATCCTTAAAATCACAATATAAGTTTATTTGTTATCCGAATTTGAGGGTAAACAAAGAGGAAGCAAGAAACGTGATGAGTCAGACGAAATCAACCACCCCCACCAAAAAAAAAAAAATTGAGGAAGTGAAACTACAAATGTAGAAATACCAGGGACTTGAGTGAAATTTAATCGGGTAAAACCGCCAGTACTGGATTATAAACAAAAATAACTTACAACTGCCAAGCAGAAGCCACCTGCACCGGAACTAACAACTTCACCCAAAACTCCAGGCAAAGAATCATGAATTGTGAAATTTTCCAGCTGAAAGAACTGGTACGCTTTTGCTTTCCTCTGATATTGATTATGTAGTGAATTTTGACTTCGACCTCCATTGTAGTTTTGACTTTGCAATGATTTCGATTGAAGGATGTGGATCAATTTGAGATACGAGAAGTTCTACGATGTGAGTTATCTACTTGAATTGGCTGCTCTGTTTTGTAATTATTCTGATTTCTTTTGATTATGCATACAATTAATCCGCCATTATTTTCCAGCTTATTGTGTCTGCGAGTAAGAATATTATTGCAATTAGGCCATTAATATGCGTAAATTTCGATAAGTTCATGTCATGGCGTGTTGGACTAAGAAGTTTCATCTGTGATCTCCTCAGATTTGTTTCGCATTATTTAATTTTACTGTATACCTGATGAATTATATAACCTAGTCACTAGACCTAATTTCTGGAATTGCGCCATGATTATTTCCATTGAAGTTGGAAGTTCACTTGTGGCTGAAAGAGCGTCGAGAGAAGAAAAACTACTTTTCTTGATGATCAAACCAAAGGAAAGTTATTAGATACTCTTATTGTGACAAAATTAGGAAAATATGGCATACTATTATAACTCTAGAGCATTTATCATATAACTGCAGTAATTCACTAGACATGGTCATAAAACTATAGTGTGGGAGAAAATCATAAACGTTATGAATACAAATATTTCGCTTTCCTACACTGGCGTAACAGAAAATAGAGTAATTTAACAAATACATTAGAATCATATACCGCGAGTTGCCTTAGGTAAGATCTCTAACAGTACAAAATCTAGAGACTGAAGTTGAGTGTTTAACTTTAGCACGTGACCGAAGAGAGTGTTTACATTATTTGTTTGTTCATCATTCTACAAGATAACGCTGTGGACAAAATGTGGGCGTGGGGGGCTGGTTCCGGTTTCTGATTGGTTTCATATTTTCATATTGCAATCCCGGAATTCATAATGCTTTTTTATTTTACTAAGGATCCTTGTGTAGTTCTTCCTAAAGAATAGAAAGGTGAAAATGGCTGCAGGCATTTTTCATACAATCGTGTTCCATAGAGCATTAGGTTTGGTGCAGCCAAAGGAGATTGATTTGGAACTTTTTGACATTACATATGTAAGTAATTTCTCAACTTTCAAAAAACTAGGTTGAATGTATTTATCTCTTTCTTCGTCCTCCTTAGTGTTGTGTATGGATCAATTGTTGGTAGTAACAAAGAATCCGGAACATGTGTTATTTCCCAGGAGTCTTGATTGATTCAAAGATGTGTCAGATGAAGTTGTGCACTTTGTAAAGGAATAGACCACTTCTATGCTCTTGGTACAATAGGTTTTTCACATAAATGTTGCTTTATGATACTGATACTTGAGTCAATGCAATTTCTTTCAGTTGTTGTGTTTTCATAAAATGTTTGCTTTTCTCTCCCCCCTGAGGTTCCCTACATATTATGATCTTATTGTAGAATCAAATTGGCAAATGTTGTAAGCATCTCCATTGCAAGTTTTGGTGATGCTTAATTAGGATAAAGAACTAATCCAGTATAGTTGGGTCGTCATAATCAAAGGACATGCCATCTATTAACAATACTACAGATATCTGCCTTTTCATTTCTGTCTTTGTTTCCTTATGACTATTTTCTGAAAATGTTTTATTTTGAAGTGTTCTGTAATTTGCCCCCTAAAATTTTGAATGGAGTGTCAAAGCAAATCATTGGACTACTGCTGTTGGTTGAGTTGATGTTTTGATGCTGAAAAAATGTTGACTACATCTACTCTGTTCTTTTAAAATTTCATAGGCAAGAATCAACAAAGTACGAAATGTGAATCCATTTCTGTTAGTTCACTTATTCATTAGATTCTTTTTCGCACATAGATTTTATGAACTCTGTGGGGACTATAATTAATTGAAATCAAATGTAAATAAGTTTCTAAGAAAGCAGAAGTTAATAAAGACTGGGTAAGATTCAAGATGATACAAACTCACAGTGAAGTTAAAACTAACTACTGGCTAATATGGACAATGTCAATTATAACACATTAAACTAAGACAAGAAGTTGGTGTTATAGTCAGAACTAGAGTGGTATCATAAGTGATTGTTTTTTCAGTTTTAAGTTTCTCCTCTTTTTCCATTTTGGGGAAGGGGGGGGGGTGGGGGGGGTAGGGGGGGTAANNCTGGTGGGTCTATTCCAAGATATTGCCAATATTTACTGACATGATTTTTAGTTTCTTCTTGTTTTCATGTTAAATTAAGCAGGTGCAGTGTGGTGATGTTGAAGTTGAGAGGAAAATTGATGAGAAGATTACCCAGTTCATTGATAGGGTGGAGAAGCACCCCAACCGGAAACACCAGGTTTGTGATAACTTGTCTGTTTGGGTGGTAACTTGTCTGTCTTGGCCATTTAGTATGCTTGCTCAATATTCTTTTCGTTTTTTTCTTTTTTTACTTCACTATTGATCTCTGTTTTTCTTTAAATGTGCGTATTCCTCCTGAGATTTTCTCATGATATCTTAGAGTCTTTTATTTCGTATTATTTACTTCCAAAACAGGCTGTATATTACTTCAGTTATGCCTTCTTACTCATAGACTTTTTGCAACTTAGTTGCTGTTGGATTTAGTAGTGGCTAATGGAATTTCCTATTGGAATGTCAAAATGATGCAGATCTGCTTGTCCTTCTATGAAGTAAAAAACAAACAGGCCACATGGTTCACAAACAAAGTTGAACGTCACTACTGGGAACACTGGTATGTAAATTTGAGTGTGGCTCATCATCCAAAAGCAGATTCTGGCAAGTCTCATCACCCCAAAGTTGTTAACCCGGGAGGTGCTATCTTGTCTTTTTTTCTTTGCCTTCTAGTTTCACAAATGCCCCAGTTTTTACATTTTTGAATAGAGTTATAACCTTCTTTGTCTATCTATTATAACAGAGAGTGCATCTGAGGAGAGGAATGCTCAGCGCTCAGGACTGGAATCATCTCTTCGTGAAGTTCTGTTTCAGATCATCAAATTTGGAAATGAAAAGAAGGACCATATTCCCTCAGTACCGAATATTGAAGGTGTCTCATTTCCCTTTGAAATCACTATCTCAAGGTAATTTTCTTTGTTTGTCTGAGTTATCAACATTGACTTATTTTTGGTAGTTATCGCTGGTCAAGGAAAATGCCTTTGCTAAGTTTGGCTGTGCAAGCTATTATGTGGGCTATACATAAAGCTGTCACTGTTCAGTTCACTGCTGTAGCACTTCTGTTTTCTTACATTTGTTTGTTTCTAATTAGCGTTGATAGGAATTATGACTATGATGCAGATGTTACTAGCATGAATATTTCTTCCAGAAATTATAATTTGCCTTTTGTTGTAATGACCTTTGTGACTAGTTTCTCTTTACTCTACTTTTAGGCATTGGGAAAAGGTTATCAGCTTATTCGATATCCTTGACCTTTTCTCCAAAAATCTCCTGACCCCTTAAATATCATAGTTTCACGGGGACAAAGATTTATGAGTTCAATATCAGTTCCCCCCCTTAAATAAAGTGGAAATATCAGCTTCGTTGAAATTATCTCATCTTTTGTTCCATGTAATCTTCGTGTTCGTCTTCTCCTAGATTTACCTTGAATAGATATCACGCCACTTCTTAGATGAGTCAGTTTTTCACTAAGGTAAACTTCATGACCAGTTTTGGGCTTTCAATTTACACTGTAGTTGTGGTATTATGTTTTTCATATGTTCTCATCTATACATCTTAAGATATGCAACTGTGCTATATTTTGTTCATCCACCTATACATCTTAAGGCTGGCAATCGTGCTACATTTTGTTTATAGTTCTATGCTCTAGAGGCTTAAGTGAATCAGGATATAAATTTACATTCTTTTAGGATATAAAGCATTCGGGCTTTAGTTCATAGCTTCTATACTTGCTATGATGCCTTCTGTGAATCAAACACATCCAGGATTCGTTTTTCTTCTTTTTATTTAATAGTTTTTATTGACTTACTTCCTCTTGCCGCAATTTTGGATTTTTTAGGGGACCCAAATATTTAGAGACTTGTTCCTTTTGCTATTTTTTGCTGAAATCTAAAAATCAGATCGCAAATTACATCACAAAACATGTGGAAATTAGCCATCAATGACTACTGAGGTTCCAAACAAGGCCCTAGATTGCTGGATTGACTCAATCCTGTGAATAGTATGATACGGTGTTACTACATTTTTACTCTTATATTGAAACTATCCTCAACTTTGTGTTTGCCACAATTACAGAGACAACTTATCTAGTTGATGAAACTGTGGTGAATGTTATTCTCTCCTGCCAACCGTCCTCATTGTAATCAAGAAGACTTGTTATCCTCATTCCTCAACAAAGTTTGTGTAAAATAGAAATTAGAAGATCGACTTAGTAAAAATATAGTGACAATGTGACATCTTATCAAGCCTCTGATTTAAGCTACTTGGGGGAAGTCAAAAGTACTTTTGGAGGCTAGATGCAGTTTGTGTACTGCTGATAAACTAGTGGAAAGTTGAGTTCAATTGAAGCGGATACATAAACGCAAAGCTTTTTTGTTTGTTTGTGTGTGTGTGTGAAAAATTATAAAGATGATTCCAATCTAGCTAAGTTATGTATTGCCTTCTTTTAGTTCATCAGATTCTGCTTTTGGGATGGAAATGCTCAAGAGAATGCTCCAGACAGGGCATCCAAACATGCTCAGCTGACTGGCAGTGCCGTAAATGGGGACTGGTTCTCTTTTTCTTCTTGGTTGGTGAGGTACAATGCTTGTCATCCGATGTCTAACAATGTGAATATTCTGGCCAAAAGTTGTAAATGGGAGGCTTCAGACGACTAAGACAACTGAATGAAATGAAAAACCATATGTACATACCATACTTGTCCAAATTACAGTTGTTCTCCTTTCTCGTGTTACTTACTATTTCTCTGTATGTAACTCTCAGATTAGCTATGGAGTAAAGAAATCAATACATGATGAAACTTTAACCACATTTTGATAATTTAGCGAAATACTTTCTCTTCGTCCTTTGTGGTGTTTCTCCTTTTATTATTTTATTGTTTGTTTTTCCTATTGCAAATGCTCTTTGGTCGAAATCAAAATGGACATGGTCGTCTGCAGTTTCCAGTTGCACCCTTGGCTCCTCTTCCTTTAGGCCATTGTTTGTATTTGGTTATTGTCTGATGTTTGTGATAGGGACTTGCTGATATGCTCCGGGTCCGCTCCTTAATTTTCTATTCCATAAATAAATGGGAAACTACCGGCTATGTCCATTTATAAGTAGCTCATTACAAAAATTAGGCAATTCATAAAATAATATTAATATTAGCCAATTAGCTATTTGTAGCAAAAAAAATGTCATCTTTTTGCTTCTTTTGAGTGGGTGTTATTAAAATAGATTGGATACTTCTTAAGGAGCTTGAATTTTAGTTTTGGAATGATTTGGTGAAGTTTTGAGGTGGTTTGAATTGAAATTCGAAGTAAAAACTGAACATGAAAAAAAGATGTGTATCACACTGTGTATCATTTTTGTATCATATTTGTATCAATTGTGTATCACATGTACATCCATGTATACCTGTGTTTGAGATACATGCGTGATACATGTGTCACAGAAGAATTTTTGAACTCGATTTAATTATGAATTTTAATACAAAACTAGTCCAAATCACTGTCACGACCCGAATTTTCCACCCTCGGGAGTCGTAATGGCGCCTACTCGTGAAAGCTAGGCAAGCCAACCAATTTAACTATTTACCTTGTTTTCATTTTTTTTTAATCCGATAACAATTAAGAACCAACAATTAAATAACAACAGAATTTAAATAGGCGGAAGACTAAATTGCAAGTTTTAATAATACTGCTAATGTCAATCCATAACAAATCTACCCAAGATTGGTGTCACAACTTCACAGACTATATAGGAGTGCTACAAATAAAGGTCTGAAAGAAATAATACAACGCTCTCTCTGGAAATACATGAAAGAAACAAGAATAAAGATAGAAGGAGACGCTAAGGCCTGCGGACGCCTGCAGAACTACCTCGGGTCGCCTGATGATCAAGAAGTAGCAATCTCACTGCGGTCCGTAAGCCAAAGCACCGGGATCTACACAAAAGAGTGCATAGTGTAGTTCAGCACAACCGACCCCATGTGCTGGTAAGTGCCTAGCCTAACCTCGGCGAAGTAGTGACGAGGCTAGGACTAGACTACCAAATAAACCTGTGCAATTATATCATATACCGTTGAAAATAAAGCAGAAATGTACAGTTAAGAATGGGAGGGGGAAACATGATGCGGGGGGATATCATTTACCATCAACAACTCAGGAGAAAAAGCTTAAAGAATGATTTAAAATTCGCAGCCGAAAGAATAAGGAAACCGTAACAAAACAATAACCACTTTTATCCTTTAATGTTGCGGAGCGCAACCCGATCCAAATCATATATATAAACACTGTTGCGGCGTGCAACCCGATCCAAATATAATATTATTGCGGCGTGCAAACCGATCGAAATATAGTATTATTGCGGCGTGCAATCCGACCCAAATATAGTATTGTTGCGGTGTGCAACCCGATCCAATCATAGTATTGTTGCGGCGTGCAACCCGATCCAAATATATTGTTCAACACCAATCACAAAAGAGTCCCGGCAAGGGAACAATAAGGAAACAACAATATCCCGGCAAGGAAATCGACAGTAAGAAGTAAATACATCCCGGCAAGGGAATCAGCTATAACCAAACTTGTTTCAACATTTAACTTCACAACAAAAACCTCGTCTAGAACCAATATTCAACCATAAGAAATTCTCACGAGATTAATCATAACTCTTGTCCAACACTGAGAATCAACAACTTAAGCATTTGTAGTACTTGTTAGGAACACAGCGATTTTAGTTTAAGACTCACGAGCATGCTTGATACCAACGTATAGATACTCGTCACCATGCCTATACGTCGTACTCAACAAATAACACATAGCAAATAGGACTCGACCCCTAATCCCTCAAGCTAAGGTTAGACCAAACACTTACCTCGAACTTCCACGGCCAACTCAAGCCTCAAACATCACTTTTTCCTTAGAAATCGCCTCCAAATAACTCGTATCTAGTCCAAATTGATTTCACAACATCAATAAATGCTAAAGACTTCATACCCAATGCTTAATTATAGGTTTTCTATCATTTTCCCAAAAAGTCAAAAATTTATCCCGGGCCCGCTTGGTCAAAACTCGAGGATCGGACCAAAACCCGATCACCCGTTCTCCCACGAGCCCAAATATGCAATTAGTTTCGAAATCCGACCCCAAAATGAGGTCTAAATCCCCAATTAATCAAAAGCCCTTACTCTACCCAAATTCCTAATTTCTACCATAAAACCCCTAGATTTTAAGGTGAAAACTGATGAAATGCAATGGGAAATCGAAAGAGAAAGGTTTAAAGTCATATATCAATGTTTTGGGGAAGAAATTGTTCTTTGAAAATCGCCTCAATGCTCCCAAATTTCGAAAATATGAAGTAAATGGGTTCTGCCTGTTTTTGCTTCTATTTTAAAATCACTGGGCAAGCCTTCATCGCGTTCGCGAAGGGTTAGGCCAATTAGCCTTCGCGTTCGCGTACAGTGGCTCGCATTCGCGGAGCTTTGACTCCTCGAGCCTTCGCGTTCGCGGGCCAGTGGCCGCGTTCGCGTAGAAAAAAATCGCCTTCCCCCTGCCCAGGCCCAAAGACCTTCACGTTCGCGATAGCAGGTCCGCGTTCGCGAAGGGTAGCACCCCTCAAAGCTTCACGTTCGCGACCCGTTGTCTCGCGTTCGCGTAGAAGAAAAATTCCTTCAGCCTGACTTACCCTCCGCGTTCGCGAGAGTCCTTCCGCGAACGCGAAGAACAAAGTTCCAGAACACCAGAAACTGAAAACCTGCAACTTTTTCTAAGTTTAAAACCTTCCGAAACCTATCCTAAACTCACCCGAGCCCTTGGGCTCAAACCAAACATGTATACTAACTGAAAAACATCATATGAACTTATCCGTACGATCAAATCGCCAAAATAACATCTTTAACAACGAATTTAGCATAGAAATCTAAGAAAAACCTCAAAACTTTCAAAGTATCAAATTTTACAACTACGGGTAAGAATCACATCAAACGACTTCCGTTTTTTACTGAATTTCACAGGCTCGACTAAAACCACATATAAGGCCTGTACCGGGCTCCGGAACCGAAATACGGGCCCGATACCATCAAATTTCAAACACATTTCATTTCTAAAAACTCATATATTTTCCGAAAAACAATTTTCTTTAAAAATTTATTTCTCGGACTTGGGACCTCGGTATTCGATACCGAACATACGCCCAAGTCCCATATTTTCCTACGGACCTCCCGGGATCGTCGAAACACAGATCCGGGTCTGTTTGCTCATAATGTTGACTAAAGTCAATCATAATCAAATTTTAACTCTAGGAATTTCTATTTCTCATATTTTCACATAGAAGGCTTTCCGGATATAAGTTCGGACCACGCACGCAAATCGAGGTGAGACAAAAAGGAGGTTTTAAGGCCTAGGAACACTGAATTTATTTCTAAACCAACTGATGACCTTTTGGGTCATCACATCCTCCACCTCTAAAACAATCGTTCGTCCTCGAACGGACATAAGAAGGAAGTACCTGAGTCGGGAAAAAGATGGGGATAACGGCTCCGCATATCGGACTCGGACTCCCAGGTCGATGCCTCAGCAGGCTGACCTCTCCACTGAACACGAACAGAAGGAAAACTCTTCGATCTCAACTGACGAACCTGCCGGTCTAGAATAGCTACCGGCTCATCCTCAAAGACAAGTCCGTGTCCAACTGGACAGTGCTGAAATCTAACACGTGGGCTGGATCGCCGTGATACTTCCGAAGCATGGACACATGACTCGGCGGCAACGCAAGTCTGTAAGCCACCTCTCCCACTCGATCAAGAATCTCAAATGGGCTAATGAACCTAGGGCTAAGCTTGCCCCTCTTCCCAAATCTCATCACGCCCTTCATAGGCGACACCGGAAGCAATACCCGCTCACCGACCATGAATGCGAAATCACGAACCTTACGGTCGGCATAACTCTTTTGCCTGGACTGAGCTGAACATATCCTGAATGATCCTGACCTTGTCCAAGGCATCCCGCACTAGATCCGTACCCAACAACCGAGCCTCTCCCGGCTAAAACCATCCAACCGGCGACCGGCACCGCCTACCATACAAAGCCTCATAAGGAGCCATCTGGATACTCAACTGGTAGCTGTTGTTGTAGGCAAACTCTGCTAAAGGCAAAAACTGATCCACAAGCCTCCAAAGTCAATGACACAAGCTCGGAGCATATCCTCCAAAATCTGAATGGTCCGCTCGGACTGCCCGTGCGTCTGAGGATGAAACGTTGTGCTCAACTTAACCCGTGTGCCCAACTCTTGCTGAACTACTCTCCAGAAATGTGAGGTAAACTGCGTACCTCGATCCAAAATGATAGACACGGGCACACCATGAAGACGAACAATCTCCCGAATATAGATCTCAGCTAACCTCTCGGACTAATAGGAGACTGCCACAGGAATGAAATGTGCTGACTTTGTCAGCCTATCAACAATAACCCACACTGCATCAAACTTCCTCTGAGTCCATAGGAGTCCAAATACGAAGTCTATAGTGATACGCTCCCACTTCCACTCAGGCATCTCAATCTTTTGGAACAGACCACTAGGCCTCTGATGCTCGTACTTAACCTACTGACAATTCAAACACCGAGCCACATATGCGACAATGTCCTTCTTCATTCTCTTCCACCAATAATGCTGCCGCAAATCCTGATACATCTTTACGGCACCTCGATGAATAGAGTACCGAGAACTATGGGCCTCCTCTAAAATCAACTCTCGGAGTCCATCCACATTAGGCACACAAACTCGACCCTGCGATCTCAGAACTCCATCATCTCCTAAGGTAACCTGCTTGACACCTCCGTGCTGTACCGTGTCTCTAAGGACACACAAA